GGAGGCAGGTGCTCTCCTCCCTGGGCGAGCTGCTTGGCAACACCCTGGAACCACCAGCTCTGCTGGGATCTGCTCAGGGATCACAGATGATCCCTGGGGTCACCTTGCAGCTCCCAGGCTGGATCTGGTGGCACCAACCTGCAGTTGTCCCTTGGGAGGGGTGTCCTCAGCTGCAGGCAGGAGGGCCAGTTCCCCACTCCCCTTAGTTCATATTTTATCCTAAAACACCCTAAAACACCTTTTTCTCTCCATAGGCCCCGGATCCCGGTGACCCTCAACATGAAGATGGTTATGCCCTCCTGGTTAGTGCTTTGGGACCCTTTTCTGGGGGAATGAGAGGGATGGGGGGACTGAAGAGCCAAAATCCACTGCCCTGGAGGAGTCAGGAAAGGGCAGAGCACACCCAGCTCCCCTCAGCCTGGGTGCTGGGAGAGGTTTGGAACTGACCCTCCTGCTTTTCTCAGGTTTGACCTGATGGGGTTGACTCCGGATGCACCTGAGGATGAAGCTGGGATCAAGAAAGCTGCAGAAAACAGTAAGAAGCTTTGGGGAGGAGGAACCACAGAGCTCCCGGGTGCCTTTCCCTCAGTGGGACAGGAGCAGATGTCTCCCCTCCACCTCTCCTTCCTTCCTGCTCTCCTGTGATCCCTGCCCACCTTCTCCCTGGCTGAAGCCAAGTGCATTTGGTCCCTGGGAGCTCTGGCACCCACCACGCCCTGACGTGCCAGGGGTGCTGTGCACCCCCCCAGGCCTCGGGTGCTCTCCCTCAGCCCCCTCCCCAACCTTTCACTGACCCATTTCTTTGTCTTCTTCCAGTTAAAGCCATTATTGAGCATGAGATGAAGAACGGGATTCCAGCCAACCGCATCATCCTGGGGGGCTTCTCACAGGTGAGCTGAGCTGGGGGGAAGGCTGAGGAGGAGCAGGCTGAGGGTTGGGACCCCTCTTCCTCCTCCAAAGACACCCCTCAAAGGGAGCATTGGTGGCAGGGAGGTGGGTGGATTCCCCTGGGGCTTTGGATTCCCCTGGGGCTGTGGATGCCCCCCTGGGCCTTGGATCCCCCCCAGGGATTTGGATCCTCCCTGGGGCTGTGGATCCTCCCCCAGGGGTTTGGATCCCCCCCCAGGGGTTTGCGTTCCCCTGGGCCTGTGAATCCTCCCCCTGTGGCACTAACAGACCCTTCCTCCTCTGCTGCAGGGCGGTGCCTTGTCCCTGTACACAGCCCTGACCTGCCAGCACCAGCTGGCTGGCATCGTGGCCCTCAGCTGCTGGCTCCCCCTCCACAAGGCCTTCCCTCAGGTACTTGCAATGCTACCCCACGGGGAGGCTTCTGGGGGGAGATTCTCCCATTTGGAGTTGGCTGCAGTGAGCCTGGGGCTGCTGGAGGCATGAAGTGCCTGTGGTGGGGGCTTTATCCCACCCCCCTGCTGCTCGGACCTGGAGCAGCTCGTGGAGCAGATCAGGGCTCTGGTGCTGACCCGGGGTGGGCACCAGGGCCTCGTGAGGGGGGGACCTGCCCCTTGGGGAGACAGATAAATCACCTGCCCCCTTCCCCACTGGGCATCCCCTCTCCTGAGCCACCCCTGAACCTTTCCCCCCTGGCTGCAGGCGGCGAGTAACGGGGTGAACAAGGACATTGCCATCCTGCAGTGCCACGGGGAGATGGACCCCATGATCCCCGTGCGCTTCGGGGCCCTCACGGCCGAGAAGCTCAAGTCTGTTGTCACCCCCACCAAGGTCCAGTTCAAAACCTACCCTGGCGTGATGCACAGTTCCTGTCCTCAGGTCAGAGAGGGGATGGGGCTCTTGGGGAGGTGTTGGGGCTGCTCTGGCCCTTGGGACCCCCCCCCAGCAGGGTCACTGAGTGCAGAGCACACGGGGTGTGTTTGTTGCTCCTGGATTCACTCCGGGCTGGGCACACAAGCTCTGGGGTGACGGGCTCTGTGTTCCCTGCAGGAGATGATGGCAGTGAAGGAGTTCATCGAGAAGCTGCTGCCCCGGATCTAAGCAGAGCCAGTCGAGACTGTGGCAGGGGAGGAGGCCGAGGTCGCAGCCACCCCCACTGCTCCTCCCACCCTCACCGTGTCCCTCCAGCTGGGGGTGTCCCCTCTCCCTGCTGCTCCCGGAGCCGAGGTTGGAGCTGTCCAAGGCGACTGTCCCAGTGGCCTTTCCTCTCCTCCTCTTGCTCCCAGTGGTTCCGAGGGGATCACCACCCCCTCCACTCCCCCGCGGTGAGTGGGTCTGGCCTGGCACGGGCGAGGTTTTTTTGTTGGGTTTGGTTATTTTTGTAACAGTATTAGGGGTGGGAGGAGCAGTGGGGGGCAGCGGGCAGGGCTGGGGCACCCTCTGGAGCCCCCCATGGCTCAGAGCAGCCCCTGCTCCTCCTCTGGCCTCAGCTTGTCCTCTCTGTGGCTGCTCTCAGCCTCCTCCCAGGCGACTCACGGGTTTTCAATCAGCTCAGGAACCCGGGACTCTCCTGTGAACACCTAAAGGCCCAGGGAGGGGCTTTGCTCTGGGCTGCTCCTGCCAAAGGCTGCCCCACCTCCCGGGGCTGGGGGAACAGTGTCCACACGCTCCTGCACCTCCCGGCACCTCCCGGCACGGGCCGGGTCCCCGCCCTGTCGCACACGCACACTCCGGCAGCCTCAGCCCTTGGGCTTGGGGCAGCTCTGCCCTCCTTGAGGTCATCATCTCCTTCCTCCTCCTACTCCTCTTGTTGCTTTTACAATCTCCTCCTCAGCCTGCCGGGGGTCCCGAGGGTCTCCCCATGCCCTCGGAGCCCCAGCAGCTGCTGGTCACATCTGCTGGCCGAACGGTTTGGACGCAGAGCCTGCCCAGAGCTGCCCCATCCTGAACGTCTCTCTTGCTGCTACTTCTTCTCCTTCCCTTTGGGCTGGCTCAGGGAGGGAGAGGAGAGGTGAGGAGAGGCCCCCAGGCCCCAGGGATGGCTCCTGGCACAGCTGGAGGAAGCAGCTTTGCTCCCAGCCATCAACCTCACCAGCATCTAATGCCCAGGCGCTGCTGTGCCCCATCCTGGGGGGCAGCACAGGGGTCTCTGTGTCCCCGAGGGCTCTGCTGGCTTTTCCATGTACAATCACAGCTTTCCCTGGGCCCCTTTGCCCAGAGCTGCAGCTGAGGCTTGTCCTCAAGTGGTGGCCTGGCCATGCCAGTAGCTGTGGCCAGCCAGGTCTGAATGTGTCCCACGGGTGGGCTCCTGGCCATCCCCTCCTGCAGGGCCACGGGCAGTTGCTGTTGAGCAGCTCTGCCCTTCTCCTCACCTCTCCTCCCTGGGCTGAGCCCACAGCACTGCTGGGCCCTCCTGGGCTGGAGCTGCATTTCTTTAAAAAAAACCCAACCAACCAGCCACCACAACCCCCACCTGGCCCAAGGGCTGCGTCCCCTCCCGTGTGCTCCTGCCTGGCCCCTCACCCTGCAGAGCTGCTGCTTGGTGGCCAGTGGCTACTGTGGCCAGGCTGGCAATGCCAGGGCTGCCAACCCCCCAGGGGCTGCTCCAGGGGGCAGGTCCAGGGGCTGCTCCAGCCCTGCCCTCCCTGCAGGATGTGCAAAGCAATAACCCGCTCCCCAGGGTTGGATCTGTCGGCTCCATCCTCGGGTGGTTTCTTGGATTTTTCTGCCCCCCTCACCCCCCAACTCCCACCTTTTAGGAAGTGTGAAACCAGCAAACCTGCTGCTGGCTTCGGGCTGGGGAGAGTCCAGCTCTTCCCATTCTTGCTTTTGGGCTTCAGTCCTGCTGTTTCCTCTGTCAGTTTTAAAGCTGCTGTGTCCTCCCTTCCCTGGGGCGGGGAGGTGAGAGGGGCTGGGCTGGGCACACAGCCCCCCCGGGGCTGCTGGACAGACAGACAGACAGACCTAGTGACTGTGAACTGGAACCGTGTGTGTGGCAGGGGGGCCAGGGACTCGTGGCCACCCCTG